GCGCCCCTCGTCCCCTTCGCTCGCAGCTCTCTGCCCCCTCCGCCCTCCCGGGCTCTTCTCTTGCAGTGCGGTGGCGCCCGAGCCGCCCTTAGTCTGCACTCCGAACTGGGTGCGGGGCTTCTGGAACCCGGGGGCTGCAGCCCGGACCGGAGCCCTCCACCCTCCTCCCGGGTGCGCAGCGTCGGGAGCCCAGGCGACTCTGGCTTCCCCCCACCTGGTAACCGGGAAACCTTGGGGCCCGTGAAAGGAGCTCGCGCTATGGGCTCGGCCAGGTGCTGGACCTGCAGCCAGCCAGCCGTGAGGCCACCCCCGGCGTCCCCTCGCTCCCTGGCCCCGCTGCCCTGGCCCTGGCGGGTCTGTGAGTGGCTGCAGGTGCCTTCCCCAGCCCTCAGCCCCTGCTGTCCCCTCCCTCAGGGTGAGCTGAGGCCCCAGGGTCCTGAAGAGCCAGCTCAGGCCCCAGGCCCTAGGGGCAGCCGCTGGGAGAGAGGAACAGGAATTTCTGCTACCTGAGTGGGTGTGGTGGGTAACCAGGGCAGGTAACCACAAATGTGCTCCCCTCCTGGGGACCTCACCCCTGACACCGGGGTGATAAGGGAGGGGGAGCACTGACCTGCTGGGGGGCCCCAGTCAACCCTAAGGGCTGCCCTTTGCTCCTGGGGCAGACGGACTGGGGTACTCCGGAGAGGGCCCACTCCCAAGCCTTCCCCACAAAGTGACTGGCCCCCAGGCTGCCCAGCTGGTGGTCCTGTTTCAGTCACCTCGCGTTACAGCTGCCCACAGCTCTTGAGTTACACCAGGACATGAAATCCAGCAGGCAGAGGACAGGGCAGAGGTCTCAACCAGTATCCCTTGGGTGCAATGACAGTGTTTCCCCAAGTCCACACCACAGGTGCCCGGCAGCCCCATCCTGTGTCCTGTCCATTTGGGGACCGAAGCTGTGGCTCAGAGAGCTTAAGTGACCTCCTCTTAACCTCCCTGGGCTTGGAAGCCGCAGGGCCCGGGTTGGAGCCACAGCAGCCGGGTTCCCCGGTGCTGGAGTCAGGAGGTCATTGTGGGAGAGGGGACAGGACCCTGGTCTAACCTCTCAGGGACAGGAGCCCAGGGGCCGCCTGGGGCCACCAAGCCCCATGGGAGGGCAGCCTGGGGGTCTGCTCACTGTCTTTCCCTCTGTGCCCCAGGAAGAGAACCCTGTACAAGAGCATGGCCCTGGCCCTGGCCCTCCTTGTGGCCGTGACGGTTTTCCAGCGCAGCCTGACCCCCAGCCAGTTTCTGCAGGAGCCCCTGCCAGCCACACTGGAGCCACCGAAGGCTCAGAAGCCAAGTGGACACCTGGTGAACGTCGACAGCTTCTGGAAGAGCCCTAGTAATGGGGTGGCCCCCAGCCCCATGGCTTCCCAGGGGCCACAGGTGTGGGATGTGATCACTACGAATTGCTCAGCCAACTCTAACCTCACCCATCACGCCTGGTTCCAAAGCCTGGAGCCGAACTTCCGGCAGTTTCTGACCTACCGCCACTGCCGCTACTTCCCCATGCTGCTCAATCACCCCGAGAAGTGCGAGGGTGACGTCTACCTTCTGGTGGTGGTCAAGTCAGTCATCACGCAGCATGACCGCCGCGAGGCCATCCGCCAGACCTGGGGCCATGAGTGGGAGTCGGCGGGCAGGGGCCGGGGTGCCGTGCGCACCCTCTTCCTGCTGGGCACGGCGTCCAAACAGGAGGAGCGAGCCCACTACCAGCAGCTGCTGGCCTACGAGGACCGCCTGTACCACGACATCCTGCAGTGGGACTTTCTTGACAGCTTCTTCAACCTGACCCTCAAGGAGATCCACTTCCTTAAGTGGCTGGATATCTACTGCCCCAGTGTCCCCTTCATCTTCAAGGGTGATGACGACGTCTTCGTTAACCCCACCAACCTGCTGGAGTTCCTGGCGGACCGGAAGCCCTGGGAAAACCTGTTCGTGGGCGACGTCCTGCAGCACGCACGGCCCATCCGCAGGAAAGACAACAAGTACTACATCCCTGCCGTGCTCTACAGCAAGTCCAGCTACCCACCCTACGCGGGCGGTGGCGGCTTCCTCATGGCCGGAGGGCTGGCCCGGCGCCTGCGCCAAGCGTGCGACACCCTGGAGCTCTACCCCATTGACGACGTCTTCCTGGGCATGTGTCTGGAGGTGCTGGGCGTGCAGCCCACGGGCCACGACGGCTTCAAGACCTTTGGCATCTCCCGGAACCGTGCCAGCCGCATGAACAGGGAGCCCTGCTTCTACCGCTCCATGCTTGTGGTGCACAAGCTGCTGCCCGCCGAGCTGCTGGCCATGTGGGGGCTGGTGCACGGCAATCTCACCTGCTCCCGCAAGCTGCAGGTGCTCTGATGCTGCAGGGCCCCGCCAGTGCGCTGCGGCTGGACAGAGCCTCTGGTCCCCACAGGAGGTGGAGGGTTTGGGCCTTCTGTGCCCCTGGGTGTGGTGGGCTGTGGGGCACTGCAGGGGAGACTCCCCAAGCAGCTAATTCCCCGGCGGTGAGGCTTGGGAATAGGGTGCTGCCCAGGCTGGGGGGCACCTGAGAAGAGTGGGGATCCTCCAGGCCCAGATCGGTGGTCTGGCATCTCGGACCCGCTGGGAGGCCCCGGTGGCCTCTGCTGGAAACCTCTGCTCAGGGACCCGGGCTGGACCTGGCCCAGGCGGTCTGGGGCTGCCTCTCATCTTCATGGGGACGTCTCCCATGAAATGCCTCAGTGTCCCCAGAGCCAGACAGCCCCAGCCAAAGCAGCTCAGCCCTGTGCTGGCTCACAGGTGCCCCTGGTCTGTGCCACTGTCCCTGGCTGTGACCTCTCAAATCTGGAAGTGTGACCAGCCACTCTCTACCTCACCTGAGCTCCTCCCACCCCACTCCGACACAGGGCAGAAGAGCAGTGCTTCTGGCCTCCCGGTCCCGGTGGCTGCGGGTGGCTCCAGCTCCACCAAGGCCAGTGCCCTGGCCCAAAACTGGCCGGTTTGGTCCTAGAAGTGGACTTTAATCTTACTGTGAAGTTTTATTTATGAAGGTTCAGAGGGAGCAGACTCCGGGCCTGAAGTGGGGTGGTTCTCCCTCTCCCTCACCACCCTTAGCCCCATTAAGCATCCCCACCCTGCACAGCCTCTGCAGCCTCTCCCTCCTGCACCCCAACTTCCCCAGGGCGTGAGCAGCCTGGCATTTGCCCCTGTGAAGGAAGGGACAAGAGCCCGCGGTGGTGGGTGCAGGGGGATGCCACCCCCCGACCTCAGGGTGGAGTCGCTGGGAAAGGTGGAGGGAGTGGTCTCTGTTTTCTCAATAAAACGGGACCGGTTTTTTCTGGTGTGAAATTTCCTGTTGCCACTCCATCCGGCCTGGCTGTGACCAAGGTTGCTGGGGGGGTCTTTGAGATGCTGCTTCTTTGTCGGTCTTGGCTCTTGAGGGTGCAAGGCCCCTCCAGAAGGACCTTAGGAGTGGGGTGCAGGTGAGGGCCCAGGGCAAGCCCAGCCTTCCAGAGGGTGGGGTTGGTGGCCCAGCAGTGGGCCTCAGTGGGGTTCTGGCCCAGAGCTGGGGTGATTGCCCTGTGCGGCTCCCTTGGCCTGAGCTGGTTGCTTGCTGGTGGGATGGAAGCCAGCAGCCCCCAACAGAGGATTCAGGGAGCAGTCACAGGGAGCACACTAGCAGTTGCCCCGGTCCAAGTCCCAGGGAAGGAAGGGGACAGGGCTGCCGCTACTTCTCCTTCAGGGTCAGCTGGCTGCTGCCTTTGGAGCTCACCGCAGGGCCCTGTGCAGCAGTTGTTAGCGGTTGTAAGACTTCGGAGCATAGCACTGTCACATCGGCGGTCCGCTGCAGACTGCCGGTCTGGGCCGGGAGAGAGGCTCTGGAACAGTGGGGAGGTGCCCGCAGGCTGCCTGCACTTGTGGCAGCCACACCTAAGACCGGGTGGAATCAATGGGGAGCAGGGCCCTGAAGCAGGGTGGCTGACAGGGCTGGTTCTGGGCCTTCTGGGCTCAGAACGGTGTCTCGGTCCTGAGGGCAGAGGGCCAGCAGCAGGGCTGGGCTCGGGGCAGCCCTGAGGCCCTGCACCCTTCCCCTCCGTGGGAGCAGCCTGTGCCCACCGTGGGTCCTGGGACTCGAGGCCACCTCACCCCTCACAGCCCTGCCTTGCCCAGTATCTGCACCTTCCTTGGGCCCCTGCTCACCACCTCCTGCTAGGGGGTGGGGGCAGCGTTAGCATAGCAGAAGGCAGGGCCTGGAATGTCACAGTGGGGAACAGGCTCCAGCGGCCCGCATGCACCTGTGTCTGAAGAGCGCATATGCACTGAAGACAGCCTACAGGCTGGGACAGTGGAGAGCAGCGGCGGGACAGGGAGCGTCAGGGTGCTTCCTGCGGGCCCTGGGGAGCCACCACAGCTGCCCAGCAGGTCAGACAGGAACCTGAAAATATGTCCTAGCCCCCAGCACAGGGGGGTGGCCAGTTCCAGGCCCCCCCCACACTGCCCCTGGCTCCTCGGTCCCTGTATCGGGAGACAGTGCCACGAGAGGGGGCTTGGACCTGTTCATCCGCCCCTCAGCGGGCTCCTGGCTGTGCTCCAGCCACCCCACTCTGCTGGCCCTGCATTTCCACTCCGCCTCAGAGTGTGACCCTACAAATGTGGCCCCAACCTCCTCAATCCTGGCTGCCTCTGAAGACGGGCCTGGCCTTTTTTGTTGTTGTTGTTGTTACTGGGGATCAAACTCGGAAGCAGAACCATTGAGCTAAATCCCCGGCCCATGCCTGGGTTTTGAAGCTAACTGCTGATCATTTTTGGAAGCCGAGACAAAGGTCCTTCTAGAAGATGCTGGCATTTACAGTCTCCTTCCTGGTCGAGGGGCTGACCCATTACAAAGGTCACAGCTGAGACTCGCATAACAAAAGGCGGCTTAACGAGGGAAAAGCACACAGATTTCCTTAATCACCGTTTTATGTGACAGGGGAGCCTTCAGAAATGAAGGCCCAGGGACCCAGGAAAGACCTAATGGTCTGACCTAGCCATAAATTGGGACACGGAGTCCAGAAGGGGCGTCTGCTGGGATCCCTCCCTGCCGGCACAGGCGGGGCCTGGATGAGGGTCTTCCAGGAGGAGGAGGGGTTTGACCTGTGCAGGTTTTGTGGCCCACCTGGGGAAGGGAAGAATTCTAGTGTTTAAAGTGCCTGGGCCCAGGGCGGCAGGGGAAGGGCGGGGTCAGGCACAGAGGTTGCTTTCCAGCCTCCTTTCGGGCAAAGCCCCTACCTGCCAAAGTGCCACACTTCCGGGTATCATCTTCTGGGCCCCAAAGCTAGTAATGATAACAGCTGCCGCTGCACGGAGCACACTTTATATGCCTTGCCCTCTGGTATTTACCATGTGAAATCAACATGACTTCAACTCGGGGCACAAATTCGGTTGCATTTAGACAAAAAATCCAATCACGGTGGGGGCGGCTCCCTCCCAAATTAGCCTAGAATTTAGTGAGCTCCCGCGTCGCAGCAGGTCCCCCTTCCTCCACACCGCGGCGCTGATGAACACGGGGCGTGCGCAGCTGGGTGGCTTCTCAGGGATGCTGTCCGCTCCAGACGCCACCTGCCCTCTGCCACCCGCCCTCCTCTGCCACCCTCACCAGCTCAGCCATCCTAACTCCCGGCAGTAAGGATGCTGAGCGTGACTGTGGTGCCCCACCAGCTGCACAAATCCCCTCAGGATCTGGCCTCCTAAAGCAATTTTCCAGGCTCTTGGCGACAATGGATTTGTGTCAGTCCCGGCCCGATGTGGGACAACAGGTGGGCGGTGGTCGCAAGACTTGTCCTCCCCCAACACCCGGGCTTCACTCGCCAAAGGACCCTCCGCTTCCCCCAACCAGCTTCTCATTCCAAGAGGCCTTGAGAAAGGGCAGCCTTTATTTATCGGGCCCCAAAGTGTCCCGTTCTGCTCTCCCCAGGGCTGGGGTGCAGAGGCGGCCACATTTACATGACTGAAGGCGCCCACAGGGGAATCCTGCCTGTAACAAAGAAGGCCTGTTCCGGGGCCGGCCTGGGGCACCCCAGCTGGGGAGCAGCGGAGGCTTCCACCGGAAACCCCGCTCCCGGCCGGCCTCCCACCGTCTCCCTAGAAGTCACCCTCCTCCCTCCATCCTTACTAGCAACTCGGTCGTAAAGGTGTTGTTTTTGCGCCAAAACCCAGAGAGTAGAAGAATGTTAAATCCACGAGTGATTTGGCAATTTGGTTATTTTGGGGTTTGGGAGAGTTCGATAGTATTGCCACAGCATGAAAAACTTTCCAGATTATCTGAAACACCCCGCAGGAGGAAAGCTTCTGCGTTCCCCGGGGCGCCGAGTACGGCCCAGCCTGTCCCACCGCAGGTGAAGCAGCCGCGGCCGATCGGCTGCAGGGCCGCTCGCTCCTGGCCCTCCGTCCGTTAGGAATTCGGTTTCTCCCATACGAAAACGTGTGCGTCCAGCACCGTCCTCGAGCCGGGTATAAGGAACAGAAATCTCCAAGGCGCGCCTGCTTCTGGGTCTGCACCAGACATGAATTCACCTTTTCCTGAAAAGGGACTCCGACGATTGCTCTTACATTACGACGAACGGAGACTTGCGGTGGAATGCTATTTTTGCATATTTTTCAAATACGAAACTCAAGGCTTTCAGAGAAGGGGGGAGACGGGGCTGC